GTCGGAGCCTGGGTGCTGCCGGGGAGCTGGCGAAGGCTTTTGTTTAGACGAAGGAGGCTTGGTAGGTCTGGTAGGTGAGTAGTCTCAAGGCTGCTTGCTGAGCTGGAGACGCATGACCTCCTGCAGAACATGTGCCTGCAAAAGTGGCACGCGCTGCTGTGCATGTCTCCCCGGGGCATCAACACGGAGCTTGCAATAGCGGCAGCTGTCTCCTTTGTGACAGAAGACCTTGAATTGTGTGAGCCGAGAAGGCAAAGTCTTTTCAAGTCTAGCCATCACTTCCGGGTGTTGTCTGTTAAGGTGTTGTTTGGCGCCCTTCTGGCCCACCAAGACCTGTCCACGTAGCGCGCAGTGTGCCATGAGATAATCATGAAGGTCTGGGTTCCTGGCTGCACTTTCAGGATTTTTGTGAGCTTCGTCCTGAAGTCTCTCGGAGGCCTCCGTCTTGTTACGTGCTGCCCTTCGCTTGGGGAAGTGAACCTGAAGAGCTGAGTTCATCGCTTGATGGAGGGAGCTCCAGGTCCGAGGCAAATCTTGAAGGAGCAAGTCTACCTGCTTGGAGAATTCATTGATTTGTGGGGCTCTGTGCCGGTAGCTATCTTCCATAGCTTGTTGGTCGTAGAGCGTCCAGGCTGTTGCGGAGTATCTCCTGCTGTGGCGAATTGAGCCTAGTAGAGGGAAGTGCTTGCTTCCTTCTCTCCATGTTGCTACTGGAAATGTCCGAAGTGGCCTGCTAAACTTAGCCGGGCCTTGCGACTGGGATAAGCGAATAAAGGAGAAATCTATCTGTGATACCGAATTGCCCTGGACATGGGTAGCAGGCCTGTGCACTCCGCAGGTGTTTGATGCTACAAGCTGATGCTCTGTCAGTAGAGCCTGGAGATCCTTAGTCCCTCTGTGTCCTAGGCGGCAGGCTTGAATCGTGCAGGGTCCCACGTGCTTATTGTCTGTTTTGAGAGACGCGTTGAAGTCTCCCAGCACTAGGAGGGTGTTACGATTAGGAACTGCTCGAATGGACTGGACTTGCTGAGAGTCGGGAGGGTCTCCTGTCGGAGCTGCTTATTCTGGATTACGGTCTCCTTGGAGTGCCAGACATACTGGTAGCAACTGAAGACGTCCAGAGAGGTGCCGTTGCTAGGCACCCGGACCTGGAGAACACGGCCAGGGACAATTTCATTGAAGCGAATCTCTTGCTGTTTGCATAAGGTAGAGTGTACCATTATCAAGACACCGGCGCCTTTCTCGCCTGATGTGCCGGAACTAATCACGCGCCACCCTTCCTTGCTAAATTGCCAGGAGCCTCTCCAGTGAGTTTCTTGGATAGCAACTAACTTAACTTCCTGAAATGCCCTGGTCTGCAGAACGGAGAGTAACACTTCCCAGACTGCAGTGGTGAGTGAGCCCGCATTCCAAGATAGACAGCTGACATTCTTATCAACAAGGAACTTCGAAGGTCTAACTCTTCTACTGGGGTTGGAGGTCTTGTCTGCCGCCGGAGTGACTCCTAGCTCGGATGACGACATCCTTCTTCCCTTGTAAACCGCACTACCTTCATTCAGAGCTTTGCGCGCCGCCCTTTGGTAAGAGCGTTTTCCTTTCCCTTTGGGAACGGGCGGATGATTCTTGGTCGATACACTAGTTTCGCAGTACTCATGTTGAGCTCTGCTCCTGTCGGCTGCGAAAAACCGACAACCCTCACCTCTGGGAGCTGATAGAAAGCTGTAAATCTAAACGCTCCCTCCCGGACTTGGGACCGGGACTGCTCAGGCGCTGACAAATGTCATGGCAAGAAAGGAAAAAGGCAACTGTACTAGCCTGACCTTTCCTGAGCCGAGAGGCTTATGATAACGAGAAGAACAAGAACAACAACAACAACAACACCGGCTTAAGAATAACGAGAATGACAGCAACCGCAACGCAGCAAGAGCAATAATAGCAATAAAATAAAACAAAAACAGAAACTAAATAAATGGAATACAATAATACGTTACATAACCATAAAAAATCATGAGGCTAAGAACAACCACAAGAAGAATAATGACAAGAACAATGGCAGTAGTAACAACAACAACAATTTCAATTGAACGCTGTGCGAGCGGGCTCTGCACATAGCGGGCGATTGCCGCGGTGCACTCACGTTGGTGTGAAACTGACTCAGACCCTTGAGACTGATTAGCCCAGGTCAAAATGGGGACCCTTTGAAGGTCAAGCGGCCTACTTGGCTTCCAGCTGACTGGCAGAGGGCAGCTAGAGTTTTCGCAGGCAGCAAGATGTCAAGCTCCATTCTGTGAAGGTGTACCTGAAGGCTGTCAAGAACAGATTTGCATGAGGCATGCTTGAAGCGGTGCAGCAGCGCAGACTGAGGCAGATTCTGACCTGTTTTTGCAACTGACAGCGACGGCTGCATGCAGAAAAGCCATCAGTGTCTCAGGAAGAAACTTGTGTCAGGTCAGACGAAAACAGGCAGTGCCTCCGCTGCTAGGTATGCACATTGCCATTGGCACCTTCCGTCAAGATAGAGACTCATTGATGCCAGGAGCGACTGCCACTAGCACCAGAGTCGGAGCCGCGGTTCCACCAACCACCCCTCGACCAGGCATCGCCGTCTCTGTGGCGCTTGTCAGTGCGAGACTGTGTCTCTTCACCCGAGCGCTTGTCTCGCTGCTCCCGCTGACGATGCCATTGGTAAGTGGCAGTGTCGCCTTTGTTGTGCTCAATCCTGAGCTTGCGGACAATCTGGCCATCGCGGGGCTGGTAGAAGATGGCACGATTTTGCCCGCCGCTCTTTCTGGAGGTCTGGTCGTAGTCGTAGATGCACTTGAAGGTGGAGGCAACGATCTCGAAGTTCTCGTCCGTCTCAAGTACCGCGTTCATGTCAACGTGGTCCCACATCTTCTGGAAGAGAGCATGCACGATGCCATAGTACGCCGTGGTGGACTTGAGCTCGGTGTAGCGGTTGTCCTCTCCGATGGAGAGGGTGAATTGGCCATTGGCCCCGACCATAAGCCGAACCTGCGTGATGTCCATCCAGTTGGCATCCTTGTCGGTGGCGACTTTCAGGATCGGGGCGAAGATCCATGGCACTCGCCCAAGCGCTCTGAAACGATTGGTCCATAGTAGAACTTGTTCCGAGGCAGTGAGGCCGCCCACAATGGCCTGCTCCTTCATAATGGAGATAGTCGCAAAAGCGTGGACCCACTCCAACATTTGGTCCGATTGGCCTTTGTGCACTATCTGATCTCTTTTGGGCAATTGACTCGCCTCCTGCTCCGGAAAAGGATTGGTGCTGTACTCCACCAACTTGGTCGTGGTGACCGGACCCTGGTATTTGACTTCAGCGCGTGTGGAGGGGACGTCCACGAGGGGGGCCGCTGTGGATGCGCCCGGGGCTGGAGTTTGCGGGATCTGCTCTGGCAACCAAGCTTTGGTCGCACGGGCTGCTGTCGACGTTGTCTTGTCAGCTGGGGGGGGAGCTGCCTTTGTAGCGGTTGAGCCCGAGAAGGCATTGAAAGGCGCATCGCGGGTTTGGCTGGAGCCGGCGGACGGCGAAGGCTGACAACAACAACAACAACAGCAGCCACAACCACAACCAAGGTAACGTCGGTTTTTCCAGGACAACAACGACAACCAAGGCAACGCAGGTTTTCGTCAAGAAAACGTGGAAATGGCACGAAATCCGTCCAAAATGTAAAGAAACTGATAACGTACGTTTTTCGAGGAAATTCGAAAGGGAATGGCACTAAATCCGTCAAAAATGTGAGGGAATTGGTGTTTCCATAAGGGCCACGTACCTGACGCTAGACTGAGCGACCGGCTGCGATTGGAATGAAATAATAGGGAGCACTAGTAGTAGCAGTTGTAGTAGTCGTACTACTACTACTACTGCTACTACTGCTACTTCTTCCGGACGCAGCAAGGGGCGATCTCGCTTAGCGTTCATGAAATTAGGCAGGCTTCACGGACCTGGCGCATAGCGCACTCATCCTTCTGATGAGTCCAGCTCTTAACTCAAAAGAAAAGCAACACCTCCATGGCCCGAAGGCCCCATCATGGAGGTGTTGATCCCGCTCCTGTGAAAACCTAAAAGTCTAGCAAGTGTGGGACGGTCAGAGTTACCTACTATGCTCGCTGCAACTGGTAACTGCCTACAGGAGGGGAGGACGAGGACCCAGTTCAGGGACTCGTGCAGAGCACATACAAGAAGGCGTAGGTGTTGGGATAGTGTGTAGGGAGGTCTCTATGGGTGAGGCGTTGGGCAGGCTTATTATCATCAGTGATAAGGCAGAGGTCGGTACCTTGGAACAGGATGCATCTATAGTGTCCTGTGGTAGGCATCGGGCCTTCATGCACTATCACTGCTGCTCTGCGGTATCTGGCGTACTGTTGGGCCAGAGTGAGCGGCCTTGCAGTCACCGTATATACTGGCACCAGGATTTCGTCATTTGGGATCACAGGCATGCTGGATTTACCAAGACCACTATAATGTACCCCAAAACGGTTGATCTGCAACAGCAAAACTGTGGGCTGCTGCACCAGCCCTTGCAAGCCACGCTGCATGTGCCATGCATCGACAAGTTGCTGGAGGTCGGCTATTGGGGCATTATGCAGAGGGATGGCTTCTAAGGGAGTGTCCAACCAGAGGGGCCAGGTACTACCTCTGTCGCAAACTCCTACAGTCGTATCATCCTGAACCTGTCGTGCTTCCCAATGGCCAGTGGCAGCCGTTGCCTGAAGCTGTGGTGCCAAAAATGTAAGATACTCGACTACATCATGCTGTCTTGTGGGCCGGGTCCAGCCAAGATTTATGCTCCTCCATGGCAGGGATTGCCAGAGGTGATGTACTTTCTTAACCTTACAGATCTGGCTCCACAGGGTGCGACGAATTGCCGGCCCAAGCAAGGGCTCAGCTCTATCCAGACCTGTGGGACGGCAGGCATTACACCAAAGAATGGCGATTAGGGCAGCATTGGAGTAACAATAATTGCTTGTATTTCCCAGCACTAAGGATCTGACATGCTTTCGGTCATCTTCTGGAGGTTGGTGGCCAGTGCTGACCTGCCCATTTTGTCCGCCCTCAGTGACATAGCCATGGCCCGGCATGCTCCGGAGTGGCAGAGCCGTGTAAACATCTGCCATGCCTGATCTGCTTCTCTGGTCCTGAGACCAATCTCCAGGACCATTGGCAGAATCTCTCCCTTGAGATCCTGAGACAGGCGTCTCGTGGCATGGAAGCGGATCACGGTCATCGGGAGGATGATGAGGCCTTTGAGGTCCTTGAGGCATTCCATGACCTCCTCCAGTTCCATTGGCTCCCGGTCTGGCTTTATCTCCATCTTCTTTTCCTGGGCATTGTACTGGAGGTAGGGGACCTTGTTGTCCGCATTGAGAATCAGCATTTCCTTGGCGTTGGCAATGCTGTCCTCGGACTTGTCGATCATTCCCATGCGGCTGTGCCAAATCTCCAGGAACTGCAGTAGCAAGGCGACCCGTAGTGGCATGGTCAGGGTGTTCGGCATCTCCTCTTTGGCTTTCTTCCAGACATCGTTGGCCTTCATGAGGTCCGGAAGCGACGAGAGGAGGCCCTGGGTCTGGCAGAACATAACAAAGCCTGTCTCCGTCCTGGCTATGCTCTGGGCATCTTCGTGCCGCAGCACCAGTCTGGACATCATCAGGCATAGGTCCCGGACTTCCGATGGCTCGCGGGACTGGGGGCCCCAATGATCTCCCCAGTTGCCATGGTTTCCCCAGCCATTCCCAGATCGTCCGTGGCTGCCCTTCTCGTGCTCGCGGCGTGGCCATTTGTTCGGCCCCTTTCCCGAGCCGTTGCCTTTGGAGGACTCGTCCTCCACCGTGCCGCGTTTCCCGTCCCTCTGCGCAGTGTCCATAGGCGTCGAGGGAGCCGGTGCTTGCATGGCTGCCGTACCCAGACTCTGCGGTCCCGCTCCGCTGGCGGCGGAGTTGTTCAGCATCGTCTTGAACATGTCCGCTTGGGCCTGGGCCTGGAGAAGCTCCGCCTGCGCTGCATCGGTCATCGTGGGAGGCGGTCGAAGACGCTGTTTGGGCCTGTCGTGCAGTTAAGAGTGCGATGATACCTGTGCGAGTTAGTGTGACACATGCGGAGGCATGTCTGTGACGGCTGGCATGTTGTGCCTTGAAGTCAACGTTGCACCAGGGGCACGGTGAGTGCACGGTGGCCCGTCTGTCACTGAGCCAACTAGGCAATGCATCCAAGATAGGCTGTAGGGCAGCATGTTGGGAAGCTATGTGCCTAGTTAGATACTGGGGTCGGGTAAGCCATTGGGCACAAAACATGCAAGTGTGCAGGTCAGATTTGCGAAGCAGCGCTGCAAGGGATTGCCAACCGGACTGAGACAAGAGCCGAGTTTGTTCTGGGTCAAGGCGTTTGCTCAGTTCTGTCAGAGCATCCGTTTCAGGCTCGGATGCATGCTCCCTGTCGGGCAAGTCTGCAGGTGCCATAGCAGGCAAAACCGCGGTTGCAACCTCATCTGCATTGGTTGGGGCTTCCTTCGTGCTCTCGAACTGCGGTCTGTGCAGGACAGGACATCTGGATTGTGCAAAATGTTGGCAAAACGACGGCCATGATGTAAATTGCCAAGAGCAGTGAGAGCGCGTTGGAACCCCACCGGTTGCGTGCTTCATGTATTCTGCACGCATACTCTGCTGTGTGCGCTTGCGGGCTCCAAGGGTTTTGGCAAGTGTACTCGGTTTGTGTTTGTTTGCCACATGAAGTTTGAGTGATTTGATGTTCGGGAAGTACTGGCCACAGGTCTTACAAGCTAACTGTTGTGTCGTTGCAGAAATTTCAACTAAGGAACCTCGCCTCATGACCTTGTAGCTTGGCTGGCTGATATCCACCGACGTGGGCTCCTGCTTCAAGCTATCTGCGTGCGCAAGTAGCAGATTCCAGCGTGAGTGCACACGTGTGGGTTGGAGCGACTGCATGTGGCCTTGCTGGCACTTCTCAACCCGACTTCGTATGCGCGTCGCGAGGTCTTGCGATGGCGTGATGTAACCAAGTCTAGCAAGGAGATCAATCGAAGATTCTCTGGAAAGATGAACGGGGCTCTTCAGGATAACCCGGAGTTGCTTAGCCACATGCTGTAAAAGTTTCTCTGCCCCCCCCAGTGGCAGGCCGGTACAGTCGAGGCCATACATGAGGGCCGCGTAAGCGCAGCTGTGCCATACACGAAGCTTCTGCTGTTGTGTGAGGCTGCTGCTCTTCAGGGCTGGCAAAAGTCTGTTGAACGTGGTCCAGGACTGCCGGAACCTATGCTTGAGGCTAAGTTGTTCAGGGGCAGTGTAGCTAAGCTGGAGTCCGAGGTAAGTGTGTTGTTTCACAATGGGCAGCAGAACATGTTCAGCACCCACGGGGATACAAAGGAAGTGCCCTTTGCCAGGAACGTGTCTGACATGACGCTTGAGGGCACCGGCTGCTTTTGTACCCTTAACACTGACTAGGATGACCGTTTTATCAACACTGATCTTCATACCAAATCTGGCAAGAGTGGTGAGGACGAACGAAATTTTGTCAATGGCACTGTCAAGATCAGAGACCTGGTTTATAAACCATTGGAAAAGCCAATCGTCCGCATAAGCAGTCACATCCTCTTTGCCAAGCTGACTCAGCAGCTCGCTAAGGACAAGGCCCGTAAAAAGACTCCATAATGTGGGTGATAGCCCACATCCTTGCCTGATGCCATTTTCTGTCGTGACGGTGGTCTGGTGTTGACCGACCTTGAATTGCATCTGGGCATGGCGGTGGATTTGGAGTATCGCCCACCGGAGCTCGGCACTAATTTCAGCTGCTTGCAAGGCCTGATCCAGAAGCGCTCTGGGCAAGAGGTCAAAAGCTTTCTGCAGATCTACTGATAAGGTTATGGCTCCTCTGCAAGGCGCGGTCTGATGACCTTGTTTGCGAAGGTGTGGATTGTTCTGCTGGGCACGCAATATGGCTCTGGCATGATGACAGTGAGTCAGTGCACGATCCAGTGCATCCTGAGCACTCCTGGCTGGCAGGTATGCGGACTGTGGCATGCCTTGCATGTAGCTGGTGACCGCCGGCTCCTATATGGTCTTCCAGTATGCTTGCCAAAGCTTTGGCCACAGGATGCAATAGGGAAATGGGTCTTAATGAAGACGGGGCAGGAGGTTTACCTGGTTTAAAGCATCAGGAATATTTCTGCGATGTGCCATGACTCTGGCGGTGGGTCTGCCATGTGCCTTAGCCAATGATTAAGCTCGGGTAGAGTTTTATCTGCGAGGCATGCAGCAGCGGATTTCCACAGTATCGCAGGTGCCTGCGACGACGGTAGTGCTTTACTCGCCGGCAGGCTTGAAAAGGCATTCGCGAGCTCGTACCGTGCAATCTGTAAAGGCGCTACTGGCGGTTCAGCTAGGCTGGAGTTTGTGTCAGCGGATTGTGGATGTGTGTGATAGAGATCGTGAAAGAATTTGTGGATATGGGAAAGGGTGTCTGTTGTGCTGAGCGGGCAGCCGTTGGAGGTTTTAAGTTGTAGTCGGCGGTGTGGGGTTTTCGGTGCAATGGATCTGAGCAAGCGAAACACGGATGTCAGGCCTTGTGGCTGGACTGCCGCATCGGCCAAGAGTTTATTGATTCTATCCCGCTTGCGATGTCTACATTGCTTTCTCAGCGTAGTCTGAATCTGCTGCAGTTTAAACGACTCCTTCCATAACCTGAAAAGTTTAGAGAGCCCAAATCTACTACCCCTAAGACCCTGGGGCGGATGCGGCAGGGACTTTACCAGCGCACGTTGTTGCCATAACGAGGCAACCGTATGCGAAGCGGGCTCCAGTGTTGCAGCATCACTGGAATGTTGTTCTGGCCTAATCGTTATTTCCCTCCAGGCAGCATTTATGAGGGAGTGCGGGGTGAGATTAGGGGCACTGAGATGCAGTTGCGTCATTTGAACTTGAAAGGCTTCGAGGATCTTGGGATTGCGTCCGCACTGAGTTTGAACTTGCTTTTTGGTAATGCGGTTAGGGGTGGGAATGGTTCTGGGAGGTTTAGGGATACTTATGCTGCCCACCAAAGGCCAGTGACGCATGCCCGAAATCGGCACAAAAGGAGCGCAGGTGGGCGTTGTCTGACGCGCCTGCTGATCACAGTGCACTCTTCTGCAAAGAGCAAAGTCAATCTGACTGTGGCCTTTAGCTGTGGCAGGGTGGTAGGTACAGGATCTCAGGCCTCGCTTAGACCAAGTATTCAGGGCAACCAGGCCAAAGTTCTTAACTAGATCCTGCAGCATATGGGCATCCGGTGCATGATGGCAGGTATGTCTGTGCACTCCTTGTCCAACGAGATTAGTATCGGGTTGGAGGCTAGAGTTAAAATCTCCCAGAATAAGGACCTGATTCCTACTCGGGAGCCCTGCCACCAGTCGATGCAGCTGGGCCCAAACAGTCGATCGACGGGAGAGCACGGCCTCTTTACTGTGTTCGGACACTGCAGTATTTCTGGCAATAGACCAAGCATGCTGATATACCAACACAATGTCACAGCAAGGGTCAGATTCTAGTCTGATGTGTGCTAGGCGTCCCGGCAGAACATCATGCACTTTGATCGTATGTTCCGGAAACTTACGGGAGTTAACAAGAAGAAGTAGGCCGGCTTCAGGTTTATCGGAACCACTATGTACTCCGAAGAAGCCCGATGCCCTGTACTCCATGGGACCTCTCCAGTGGGTTTCTTGGATAGCAACTAGATCAATGTGCTGCTGTTCGGGCTGGGCGAGCCAAGTGCGAAGCTCCGCGTATCGATCTGTAGTGAGACTGCTTGCATTCCAGGAAACAAAGTGCAATCTAGAGCCATCCTGCGTAGGGTTTGGGGTGGGTTTCGGTTTGGCAGTGGTGGGATTGTGTTGGACCCCAAGCTGTGAGGCATTAAACCAACGACCTCTATACATTGATCCACCGTGTTGTATGGCTCTGCGCTGCGCTCTCAGGAAAGTGCGCTTCTGTGCCGCCTTAGGCTGTGGCACTTTAAAAACACCGTGAAGGTTTGTCAGACCTTGGAGTCCAGCAGGTACTTCAGTGAGACTGGCTCCAGAGGGATCCAGGTGGGGAGAGCCCTCAACCCTCGCGTCTGTGACCTGATGCGTAGAACTGCATGGTTGGAAAAGAATAAGGATGCACATGATAACGAGTGCGGTAACAGTGTTGCATCGGCCACCCCAGGACTTGGGACCTGGGCGACCCTTCCTACTGTTCTGGGTTCGGGCAGGGGAGTGGGTCTTAGGGTTAAAGAGCAGCGAGCATATGTGACAGCCTACTCTGCTAAGCGCTCCTAGTATATACACTATGTACACCAAACCTCGACGTAACGTGGGAGGCAGGAACAAGAAGAGCTTTCGACCTCGTCGCCTGGAGGAACGCCTGTGCGTAGAGCTTGTACGTAGTCTCCAGCGTCGCCAGAGGCGGCGTCTTTCTTGTGTAGTGTTATCCATACCGGGGCTTCTGGGAGGAAGAGGAGGATTTCTCCGTCGGCTCTTCAGCGGTACCCATCCTGTACTCGAAAAGCCACTTTTGCATCTTTTGCCTTTGGTCGTCGTCCAGCAGGGGCCAGAGCAGTCGAAGCGCGGGTATGCTGAAGGTGTTAAAGGCCAGATCGGTTGCTCGAGAAGCCACCATGGCGGCAGCCTCTCGACCAACCTTGTCGCAAAGGCTGAAGAATACAGCTTGTTGGGCAGCTTGTTGTAGCCTGTGCAGAGGCGGTAGGTGCAGAATTTCCAGAGATAACAGCCAGGCGAGGTCGTTGTCTGGCATTGGCTCTGCCAGCATGCATCTGAGTGCAGCCACCATATGCTCCAACGATTCGCGTCTGTTACTGTCGAGGAAACCAACCACCGAGTCTTGGAGGTCTCTCGAGTTGTCATTCGAGTGTCGTCTCCAGAAGTCTCGCAGCTGAGCTCCCGCCTGCCTTGCAGTAAATCTAGATCGCAGCTCCTGCTCCAGATGGGCTCGGCAAAGCTGTCGGGCGAGTAAGTCCACGAATGACTGTCTCTTAAGCTCAAAATCCGCTTCTCGCCTGATGTCCACGTCTGATTGAGGGGCTTCCGGTAGATGCGCTCCAAATGGTTCATCATTCCCAAGGGAGGCATCAGAATCAGCCATATCCTCATCGCTGATAGCATTGCCATCCAGATCACTCCAGTCTTCCGAGGAGGAGGCGTAGGAGTCACTGGTCGTAGACCCAGGAGGCGACCGTGGCATTCACCCCGATCCGAAGACCCCAAAAAGCGGGTGAATGCCACGTTCAGCAGCAGAAAGACAGGCCAGCGATGCCCATTAACCCTCAGGCCCAGTCTTCAGAAACCAGTTCGGGCCGAGACGCTTTACTACTGCTACTACTACTACTACTACTACTACTACTACTACTACTACTACTACTACTAAGCGCCCCCCCGCCTACCAACCACCCCTCTTACATACTCTTCTCGCACACATCCGTTTCACTCGTCATTTACAGCGCTTTCGTCATGTAGGAACATCTTATGAAGCTTCAAAATTCACTGGCGAGTTTGCAAACTCGAGCTTCCGATTCTGGACTTGCATTTTTTGGGGGGGGGGGGGGGGGGGTGATGACGACGTTGTTACGCAGACCCCCCGAACCACATCTCGAGAAGAGCCGTTATACTCGGTATTTGCAGTATTTTCGTGATGTCGGACCATCTGACATAGTTACCAAACGTACCTCTGAACTTTGCGAACTCGACATTGGGCTTTGCGAGGGCTTTCGGCGAAAACTCAAACTTGGTCGGGGGAAGCTTGGTTTTTATTCGGTAGTTAAAGTGCTTTGGTCGTGTCGTAGTCCATTGCTAAACACCGTTCTTTGGCACCGTTGTTGTTTCTGGGCGGGGTGGGGGGGGTCATGATGACGTACAGGCAGCCTCCCGAACACCACACACCACTTCAAAAGCAAACCCTCCTTCGCCGAGGTCTGGGCTTTAAGGGCATAAGCGAGCCGCTCCCACGTACAGCTGGCATCTTTGTTTTTGATGTTTAGAAGATGTTGCGCTTCAGGCTTCACGTTTTAGGAGTGTTTAAACCTTCTTACCAGTACCTGGGTTTTGCACGGTACTTACAATTTGCAGGGTGCTTGCAGCGTTTTCGTACTGTCCGACCACTTGTGGTTGGCTGTTTCTTCCCCGTCGAGTTTGCAACTCCAGTTGCTGTCGCAGTTTGGGGGCCTGAGCCTCGGCAACTTCTGCAGCTGTCACAAATATGGAGCCCGAGCCCATGCATTTGTGACAGTTACAGTAAGGCAAGTGAGCCCCAGCAATTTCGGCAGCAGTCACAGATAGGGGGCCTCAGCCTCTGCATTTTCGGCAACTGTCATTTTCCCTGATGATGATGATGATGGTGATGGGTCAAGGTGCCATTTGGTTGGTAGGCGGGGGTAGTACTAGTAGTAATAGCAGTAGTAGTAGCAGCAGTAGCAGTATTAGTTGTTGTAGTTGTAGTTGTCGTAGTCGTAGTCGTAGTCGTCGTCGTAGTAGTAGTAGTAGTAGCAGCGAGTAGTGTAAGTAGTAGTAGTAGTAGTAGTAGTAGTAGTAGTAGTAATAGTAGTAGTAGTAGTAGTAGTACATCATCGGGACAAAAGTTTCGACATACGGAAGATATTATCAAAAGACATGAAAATATGCCGCGGAGAAGCGGAGTGGAAAAAGGTATGTTTTACGTGGCCAGCGTGGCGGAGTAGTTAGTTTCCCGGAATAAAATTATTCTACTATAATAATGTTCTCGGCGGAGAGCTTCTGGGATCGTGTGTGAGGAGTCTAGGGGGGTGGCAGCGCTACACAGGTTGAGTGACAGGCACTGTGGCGAACCTTCGTCCTGCGGTAGCGGGCAATTCGGGGCTTGCAGTCCAGCGTTGTGGAAAGATAACGACATCCACTGCGACAAATGCGTTTTGACTATTGCTCTGGATTCTGGCCCCCCGAAATGACGCTGCCTCGCCGTGATCCTTTTTGTTCAGCAAACGACACTGCCTCACCCCGACCTTAAAGCCACATGTCCTGGCTGGGTTGCGAAGATCAGCCATGATTCCAGAATCATCACCGGTGCAAAAGTTTCGACATACGGAGGATACTATCAAAATACATGAACATATACCGCGGAGAAGCGGAGTGGAAAAAGGTCTGTTTTACGTGGCCAGCGTGGCGGAGCAATTGGTTTCCCGGAATAAGATTATACTACTAAAATGTTCTCGGCGGAGAGCTTCTGGGATCGTGTGTGAGGAGTCTAGGGGGTAAAGGGGGTGGCAACGCTACATATGTTGAGATACAGGCAGTGTGGCGAATTTTCGTCCTGCCGTAGTAGTAGTAGTAGTAGTAGTAGTTGTTGTAGTAGTAGTAGTAGTAGCAGCAGTAGCAGTAGCAGTAGCAGTAGCAGTACTAGTAGCAGTAGCAGTAGCAGTAGCAGTCGTCGTCGACAGAAATGACACTACACTACACCTTGAGCAAACTTGGTTGTTGCTACACTTTTGAACATCTTTGGACATCGAGCTCATCATCGAAGATGTCCTTGCAAGGCTGAGAAGTATAGGATTCACTGGGTCGGAGGTTAGATCATGTGATTAATGACAGCCAGATGCAGCGATGCCCTGCCTGCCTGCCTGCATGACTAACCCAATCGACCGAATCACAGATTGATTGATGTTGAGGTCGCGGCCGAATCTGCTTGCTGTGCATCTTTTCGAGTGGTTGCTTACCCAGCGATTTGCTGACAATGCAAACTAGGACAAACCTGCTTGTTCTCTCCGGTCAAGGTCATGGCAAGATGTTGGCTTTGAACTTAGAAGCACTCAGAATTGCGCAAAGAAAACTGATATTGGGTTACTCCGATCCTTACTTATGAGCAGCAAGGGAGCGAATGCGAGAACTACCTTGGACCAGCGGGCTTCAATGCCGTCCAGGTCATAGCTGTTGTAGCTATGTGCTGCTTGTTGTCTAGCAGGCTCTTGGATGCTGCATCGGTCATGACAGAAGTTCTGAGCTTGGCAGGTCTCCCCACCCAGCGAGCACATTCTGGGTGACTCATGGTGCCTTCCCAAGCTGTCCGCGTACCTGATGCCCGGAAGTGTGCCCTTGGCAGGGCAACTCGATACCAACCGGTGTCGTACAAGTGACATGGTTGCACTCAAGCGACATGTCATTTGTTGCGTCCGAAGCCTGGGTTGTTCACGACTTCGGTGAAGCTCTTCAGATTGCCGTTGTCGCTGTACAGAATTGAAACATCTTACCCGCTGTAGACGATGACGCGGCGATGGTCAGGGTTTGTTTGTTTTCGATGGCTTCAAGGTTAACAACGCAACAGTTGAGATCCATGCCTAGAGCAACGTGATGAGCGCGGCTTGCAGAAAAATCGAGATGACGTCCAAGCCATGGGAAGGTTGTTAGGTTGTTGCAGCTTGTTTAGGCTGGACTCCCGGGGTGGCAGCTCGGACGACTTCGCCAGCATGGTTCGCAGGCACGGGCAGCATTGTGCAAGCATGTCGGAAGAGTTCCATTTTCGGTTCAGCCACGACCTGATGACATAGCAGCAGAAGATCTTCAATGCCTAGGTTGATGGGACTTCACACCCAATGCTTCATGAATGAGACCCGCTCCTGAAGGGTCGTTCGCAGCATCGCGCAGAGTGCCGGCAAGTCAACTGTCGATATCTGAAATTCTGAATCACTTACCCACTCTATCCTCTCTGCCGTCTCTCTCGAGTCTCCTTGACAGTTTACGGTGCGCACCTGCAAGTGTGCTTAAAGCTCCGCGACTGCCACAAGGGAGGAGGACTTTCTAATCTGAGAATGTGCTAAATGCTCGTCAGGTGCAGAGCCGCCAACGTCAACGTCATGGCCACTTGGATGCAAGGAAGCACAGTGCGAGCCATCGGTACCCTCCTGAATGGTATATGACTGCTTTGGGAATGCTGAGGTTGACGTTGTACTTAATCACATGGCTGGACCTTTCGTCTTCTCGCCTGAAAAGGACAGGGGCAAGGCCGGGCAATGCGCGAAGCCGAGCTTGTGGGCCAAGCTCGCTTGGCGCAGGCGTGTGGCCAAAGTGAGGACACCGAAAAATCCTCTACAGCAAAGTGCGGGAAGCCAATGCCAAATGCAGATGCTGCTTCGTGTGGTCCATGCCAGTCTATGCAACAGAAAATCGGACTTAGCCTACGATTTGCTGTAGGTTTGGGATGGGCCGGCACTGAGCCTTTGCCTTAGACATGCAGTCTGCTTCCCAAACGTCTGTTACAAATGTTACTATTCTCGCCTTCGAATCCTCGCTTGTCATCGCTGCCAACAAGCAGCACTTGCATCGGCCTGCTACTGTACACTGTCCGTTGGTTTCTGGTTCGACGGTGTCAACTGTACGGCCAGCCTCAGGTATGGAAACCGTGAATACCTGAACGGTCTGTGGCCGAGTTGAATACCTGTAGTTTCGATGACTTATAGATGGCTTTCTCTTGCTTTCCGCGAGCGTGTTCAGATAACATGCCGTGCTGCGAGAATGCGATTTCCGCTTGTTCGCACGTGGTGAGAGCCTTCCTGCGAGTCTTTGAGGCCGCAAAGGGCTTGATTGGTTCGACAGGTCGATGCCTCGCACCAAGATCTCAGAGTTGTACGAGATCAGAAGCAGAAGAAGCTTGTGAGAAGGCATTTTGACATGTTTCTTTTGAGCCAGGTTTCATCATTATCCAGACAATGAGCACTCCAACTGCGGACTGCCACCCTGGACAAACAACAAGCGCCGCAGTCTCAGCAGCCTGTTGAGTTTTTGCCGACCGCTCGGTGGTTGCCGTCCTGCTTCTGGGCAAATCCAGAGCTCTCCACACGACTAAGTCGGGCTTACTTGTACTCCGATAAACGTGGAAAACGATTGCCACTATGTGGCCGGAGTAGCCCAGAGGAGCGCGTTCGCTATGAGTTGCTATGAGCAAGTCGTTTCGAATCTCAAATCGGTCTCGATCGTAATGCCCCAGGTTTCAGGCTCGGACATTCTCGAAGACCAGGTTTGTGCGACATGTACGGCCTTCCCGACCTCAACACAGAAGAAATTCATGCCTCGCGTCTCAGAGTGATTCTGTTGATTGCTTGACAGCGAGGGCATCATTTCCCCGCGCCCGGTGAGGTTCAGGAACAACTGAGAGCATATCTACTAGAGCTCTTGGAGACAGGGGTGACTATGCTTCGCAAGAGCCTTACAGTGAGGCCGTGCCCAGAAGTCACCCACGAGACAATGTTACTGCAAGGTGTGGATGCTGCAATGAACATATACCCGGAGTCGCTTGCAGAGGCTCGTGCATGACTATGCTGATGCGCCATGAATGTTGAAGCCTGCTAACTCATAGCAGGTTGCTCTTGCTTTTCCGTGGGAGTACATTGTCCAGGACAAAGCCGTGCGGGCTGCCAACAGCTGCTCCTTACTTGCTGCGGCTTTTCCTGCTCTGGACAGGAATACTACCCCGATATGTTCCAAGACCGAGAGAACAGAGACAAGGCAAAGAGTAATCTTTGTTCACAAGAGCAGGTTTCCGGACGATGGCTGATGTTTGATTCTTGGCATGATGTTGCATGACAGGATGTGAGGTCACACATGAGGTCGTCGTGAGGTTGATGGATGGCAGTGCACGGCAGGGTCTGCTGTGCTCATGTGTTTTACCGCTCGGGTAGGGCTAGCCTGAGGCTAGCGAGAGTCTCTGTGCACAGGTAGAGCCGTAGCGATTTGTCCTCGGAGTTGACGACCCTTTGCTGTCCTGGCGTGTTCCCGCGCTGCATGGTTTGAGATGCGTGTTCGGAGTTGACAAACCTCCCAGTGGACGTGGCGCGTCCGCGCCCTACAGAAACTGCGATACATTGCAAATGCCAACATGTTGGCTTCATGCTGCTGGTCTCTAACATGACAACGCTGTCGGCGCAACCTGGGTGTCCACTTCCTCCAGAATGCGATTCATTGTAAGTTCCTATGCAGTCACCTCGAAATGATGATAACTCTCTCGGTGATATCGGCATATCCGGCGGCTGCAAGTGTGGGGCAGCTTTGTTTGAAATTGGACATGTTAACACATGGGGGAAGCATTTTGACCCCGGTCGCCAACTAAGAAAATGAATGGGGCGAGGGTACTTTGAGGGTGGTGATGCGGGATTGCCGAAGAGACTACAGAAGCAGTTATGTTAGGGATGATACAACACAACATGAATTATGTAATTTATTACGGTACAGTATAGTGTAGCATAAAATACACTAGAATGATGTCATAATAATATTAATAGTGCAATACTGATATGTTATGACATAAGATAATCCAGAAGCCAACAACAGCGGTAAGGGCCTCTATTTCCAATCGTTTCCCCTCGTAAACTGCTTACTTTAGAACCCAACCAGCCGCGGAATGTTGAACGATTTGTGATGGGTGATCGCAATGATTCACGACACCCCGTCGGTGCAGTAACGCCCCTTGCCCGCCTCCCCATGACTCTATCCGCTGGACCATCCCTATGAAGTTTCTGGAACTGTCTGAAGACATTTGATGTGGATGCGCACCGCGGGTTGGCCATGAAGTCCGAGGTGTTTTCGTTTCTGGGACACACCTCGACATCACACATGGCCACAATATGTGCCCCAAGCGATCTGCAACTAGCCAAAGGATCAAAACTGTCCAAAGCCAAGATGACAGACCAGGCACAGGGCACATGATGCACACATCAACTGGCACAATGCAAAGTTTCAAGAGCAGACTTCCAAGGGCGACCCTCCGCGGCACGATGCGGCACGCAGCTAAGTGCCATTACTTTTCCAGCGGACCAGAGTCATATAGCCATCCACAATGTTTGCATACGCAGTGGAGCACGACATGGGAAGTTGCAACGACCGTAAGGCAATTTCTTGTTTCTGCGCTCGTGGTGACACAAGAGCCAGCGCACCCGCAGGAAATGATCGAATGACCTCTGAGCACCAAGTGTCACATAATGAAATGTGACACATAGAGATCCCTTTCCGCGATATCCCAATTGTCGAGACACATGGTCCCTGCAACAAAAGCCTTGCAGCATTCAGCATCTGTGTACGCTGTTCTCGCTTGCGAACATGTCGCCCGCCAGCATCAGCCCAGACTCTTGAAATTGGCCGTTCACTGGCGAACAGAGAGGCCAACCAACTGCGTACAAGCACATCCCGACAGCTCGGTAAGGTAGCCATGCAACCGACCCGTCTCCTGCGTCCGAAGACAGAACGTCCAGATCGTGCCCGTCATGCCGGTGGTAAGTAAGAGGCCGGTTGGGGCGGAGGGGCTGAAGGGTGTCCGGGGTAGGCCAGAAGGAATTCAATCGCCGCTACGGTGGACACGACCTGTCCATGCAGAATCCCATTTTTGCAGCGTTCTTGATCAATCTGAGGATATCTGGAGCCACCCCAGTTGAGGTAGCTCCACCTGGATCCTCGTTCGAAGCATGACACAGCCAAAGCCAAGGGTGAATCTCCTGTTCAGGTTTGCATCTCCTTGATTAGACAGGTCATAAATGTAGTTATCATGGGTTTCGTCAGAGTGCGGCCTCACGCCCAAGCAGCTATGCAAACCTAAGGGCACGTTCATACGCCGGCACGCGTGTTGCAGACAATGTTCAGCGGCTGGAGTCCCCTCTTGGCTCTTTGCCTGCGCAGCTTCAGTCATGTCAGGGGACCAACCCTCATGCCGATGACCATCTAGTAAGGAGTTGTCACGACGTGGTGTGGGGTCATCCCCGGACTTGGGACCGGGATGAGCATGCAAATTCGAATGAGTAGTCTCCATGACGTCGGAAATCAGCCCTGACGGAGGCATGCAGTCCCACAGCCATGCACACTGCTCCTAAATAACAATCAGCAGGTTGCCTTCAGGTCTAGAGAATCTAGAACGCGTACATCAAAAGGCCGGTCCGGCTTCACAACGGAACCACTCGCAATTCGGAGCCGCTCATGGCACTCATACTACCACAACCACCAGCACCACCACCACGACTACTACTTCCTACTACAAGTACGACTACTACTACTACTACTCCTACTACTACTACTACTACTACTACTACTACTACTACTACTACGACGCTGGGACAAAGCGCGCTGTTTGAGACCAAAATTTTGCCCATCTTGGGAAATCTTGCCAATCTTGCGGGGGTCGAACATGGGCCAAGATTTTGCGAATCTTGAAATCTTGCATCCTTGCATGACTTGGACCACTTGCATCACGGCACTTGAACCACTTGCGCCACTCGCATCATTTCACGAAGAGAAATGGTGCAAGTGGCGCAAGGGTACAAGTGGTACAAGTCCAAGTGCTCCAAGCATTGCAAGATCGCAAGATTTCAAGATTGCGGTCTCCGCCCCTCCCGGTAATACTAGAGCAAGATTGACAAGATTGTACCGCGAAATCTTGCCCCCCCCTTCCCAGCGAAGAAAGCTTGCCTGCAATCTTGCCAAAAATCTCCAAAAATCTTGCAGACCGAGATTAGCAAGATTGACTGCACGTTCCACCACTACCACCACCTACTACTACTACTACTACTGCTACTGCTACTGCTACTGCTACTACTACTACTACTACTACTACTACTACTACTACTACTACTACTACACTACTACTACTCCTACTACTACTACTACTACTACTACTACTACTACTCCTTCTGCTTCTGCTTCTGCTACTGCTACTGCTACTGCTACTGCTACTGCTACTGCTACTGCTGCTACTACTCCCACTCCTACGATTACTGCTGCTGCTACTACTACTACTACTGCCACCACTACTACCATCCACCGCACCGCTGCTCCTACTCCCACTCCCACTCCCACTACCACTACCACTACCACTACCACTACCACTACTACTACTACTACTACTACTACTACTACTACTACTACTACTACTACTACTACTACTACTACTACTACTACTACTACTACTACTACTACTACTACTACTACTACTACTACTACTACTACTACTACTACTACTACCTACTACTACTACTACTGCTACTACTACTGCTACTGCTACTGCTACTGCTACTACTGCTACTGCTACTGCTACTGCTGCTACTGCTGCTGCTGCTGCTACTACTACTACTACTACTAGTACTACTACTACTACGACTACTTCTGCTACGACTACTACTACTACTACTACTACTACTACTACTTCTGCTACGACTACTACTACTACTACTACTACTACTACTACTACTACTACTACTACTGCTACTGCTACTGCTACCACCACTACTACCATCTACCGCACCGCTGCTCCTACTCCCACTACTACTACTACTACTACTACTACTACTACGACTACTACTACTACTACTACTACTACTACTACTGCTACTACTACTACTACTACCACTACCACTATCACTACCACTACTACTACTA